TCAGCTCTTCAGCTCAAGGCTAGCACTCTACCACTTGAGCCACAGGGCAACTTCCAGCTTTTTTTTTCTGCTTAAGTAGTGCTGAGGAATTGAACCCAGGGCCTCATGCATGCAAGGCAAGCGCTCTACCACTGAGCCACCTTCCCAGCCCTAGAGTTCACTTTTTAAATAGCAACCTGAGTATGCCACACATTTCAGGAAGGACATACATATCTACTCTGTCTGGGCAAGTAGGAAAGAAGAGAACAAAAGGGAGGATGAGAAACTTCCCCTACATCCTGCTGTGGTTGCCAAGAGCACATGCTCTGTGAAGGTTACAAGTAAAGAGCCTAGAAGAAGCTCACCTTAATGCCTTTAGAGGAACCGATTATTCTGAGGCTGAAGAATGTTTTCTCATACATTCACCCATTTATTATTCCGACCAAATCCTTCATCCAGGAAAGGAATATAATTATTTCCATTTTGTAGATGAGATTAAAGACCAGATTCAACACCATATTTTAAATATCCTTAACAGTTCAAACAAGATGCAACTATATAATCAAACTGGTGAATAAACAAAAGCCTCTTATTCTTCACTTGTAACAGCAGATATGATCCTCTACTGTTCAGAATTTTTTAAAGGACTGGATACGGTAACTTGTGAAAAGGTTCATCAAAATCCCAGACATCCTTGAGTTTTCGTTTCCTATGGAGGCAGCTACTATCTTTTGCCGCTAGATGGCAGTGCTCCATCTGTAGGTCAAAAGTTGGCCAAGCTACACCAAAGGAAACTAGATTTAATGTGACTGCTAAAGTAAAATATATAAAAAAATTAAATCTGAAGGCAAGTGAGAGTGATTCACACCTGTAATTCTAGCTACTCAGGAGATCTAAGTATTTCTATTCAAAGCCATCCAGGCAGGGAAGTCTGTGTGAAAGTCTGTTATCTCCAATTAACCACCAAAAAAAATCAGAAGCGGAGCTGTGGCACCAGTGATAGAGGACTAGCCTTGAATAAAAAAGCACAGGGACAGCACCCAGACTCTGAATGAGGTGAGATATGTGTGGAAAGCTATTTGACAAGTTTGAATATTTACCTCTGAACCCAAACTGAGAGAAACAATCTCATCTTCAAAAGCCGAATGTGTGTCAATATGAGCAGGAATTCCTGAGGTAGAAAAGAGGATAACAGCTAACTTCATTTTTCCTTTTAGTAGGTTTAGATTTAGTAGATTTGAGTGCATATAAATTTGCACAATTGTGTTGAAAACATTTGGTTACCAAGTAAGTACCACAATGTTAGCTAAAAGGAAATAAAGTAGGAATGTGACTAAACAAAATGAAATCTGGTAAACAAAATGAAATCTAAGCAAAAAATACCTTAATTAAGCTGGGCACTGGTGGCTCATGCCTAAAATCCTAGCTACCTAAGAGGCTGAGATCTGAGGATCACGATTCAAAGCCAGCCTGGGCAGGAAAGTCTATGAGACTCTTATCTCCAATTAACCACCAGAAAACTGGAAGTGGTACTGTGACTCGGAGTGGTAGAGCACTAGCCTTGAGCTGAAGAGCTCAGGGATAACGCCCAGGCCCAGAGTTCAAGCCCCATAACTGACAAAAAAAAAAAACCTTAATTTTTAATTAGCCACTGAGACTTAATTCTAAAGTCATGGCTCAAGGGTTAACTAGAGTGCTTACCCAGGACCAGCCCAAGAGGAAGATCGGGAAGATAAATAGAAGTTATTTCCCCCTCTTAAATACTGAATTCCAAGTACTTGGAGAATCAATGTTATGTATGAAGGCTAAGAGTGTCAATAATGAACATATGGCTTCCTCCACTAATGTAACAATCTATACTTAGCATCTTTTCATAAAGAAAGCTTGCTACATGTGAAGGGATCCAAAGCAAGTACGAAATATTAAGATAAAGTCCTTCCTCAAAGACTAGTGGGAAGACACACAGGGAACTAAACTAAGCAACTGAAATACATCATGACGCCTGGCATGCCAGCACTCACAGTAATTCTATCACTGAGGAGGCTGAACTCGGAAGATCCTGAGTTCAAGACCAGTCTACACTATACAGTAACACGTTGTATGAAAATAAATGCAAAACCAAACAAACAAAAAACCTCTACAACTACTACCATTAATAATTCCTTTAAAGGGGAAGGTGGCTCAGTGGTAGAGCACTTGCCTTGCATGCATGAGGCCCTGGGTTCGATTCCTCAGCACCACATAAGCAAAAAAGAAAACAGCTGGAAGTGGTGCTGTGGCTCAAGTGGTAGAGCACTGGCCTTGAGCTGAAGAGCTGAGGGACAGCGGCCAGTCCCAGAGTTCAGGCCCCACAACAGGACCCCAAAACAATAATAATAATAATTCCTTTAAAAACATCATTTTTTAACTATAGATACCAGATGGAGCTGCTGCTAACAAATTTGAGAAACTTGTAACCTAGATTTTCCACAAACATATCAACCTAGAATTGTTTTTCACATTCTGAATTTCACAAATGATCAGCCTTCTTCTCTTCAATTATACATATTTTACGTTTTTTAAGCATTTATCTCCCTAACTAAAACACTGAAAGAGGGACAAAATAACAACAACAAAACCACAAACAGCAATTTGTGTTAGTTTCTTTCCACTCTTTGATGAAAGTATTGAGATTGGAGTAGAGATTTTCCAGAGATTCAGACCAATACAGGTAACAAACATGAGCAAAGAAACCCAAGAATTCACTTCGGCTTTAAAAAATTATATAACCTTCTTAATTCTGAACTATGTAATTGGAATTTTCAAACAAGAAATACTTACCATGTCCAGGTTCATACTGATTTACGGTCAACTGATCAGGTTTATGTTTAATGTAACCTTCCTTCAACCATTTCTCCAAAATGCGCTCACAAATGTCAGGAAGGCCTAGTCAGTGATCATAAAGGCAAATACTTAAAAAAATATTTATAAGATATACCTAAGAATTTCAAAAAACTCACTGTGAGAAAAATAACACGTCTTCCTATCACATATATATACATATACACACACACACACATATACATATATATTAAATTGCATATATATCTATTTAGATATAAACCCATTTTATATAGGATTATATGAATCTATGCTAAATTGTTAATAAACATCCTTGTAGGCAAAAATGGAGGGGATGATAGTAGGCACCAGATGAGCTCTTTTTTTGTGTGTGCCAATTCTGGGGCTTGAACTCAGGGCCTGGGCACTGTCCCTCTGCCTCTCTGTGCTCAAGGCTTACTCTCTACCACTTGAGCCACAGCACCACTTCCGGCTTTTTCTGCCTTTGTGGTGCTGCTGAGGAGTCAAACCCAGGGCCTCATGTATGCAAGGCAAAGTCTACCACTGAGCCACCTTCCCAGCCCCATAAGATGAGCTTTAGCCTTTAGTGTTATCCATATGATTGAAGTTTTTGTTTTTTTTTTAACACAACCGTACCATTTAGCTGGTTCAAATGCTTTTTAAAAAACTTAATACACTGTCTCAAAAGTAAACCTACAGGAGATAATGGAAACATCCACCCTCAAATTCTCACATATCACATCTGAAAGAAAAAAAAAACCAGAACAGCATTTGCTGTGCATTAATAATTACTCACCCCCAGGTAATGGCTTGTCTTTATCTACATTGTTGTTCTCATAGTGGAACTCATAACCAAAATGCTTTACTCGTCTGTGCTTTAAAGACTTCTGACCTGAGTCAAGAGAATACAGTTAAGTTGTTTGGAGAAAAAGAATTGCAACCCTTTGTATGTTTGAGTCAACGTTACCAGTAAGGATTAGCTTAATAACTGTTAACTTGTGTGTTAACTGCCAAATTATTCTTTATCGGGGGAGGGGGGGAGTAATGTGTGTGTGCATGCCAGTTCTGTGGCTTGTACTCTATACCTGGGTGATGTCATTTCGTTTTTTCACTAAAGGTTAGCACTGTACCACTTAAACCACACTTCCACCTCAGACTGTTCATTGGTAAATTGGAAATAAGAGTCTCATAGACTTTCCTGCCTGGGCTGGCTTTGAACAATCCTCAGATCTCAGCCTCCTGATTAGCTACTATGATCTTTAATAACACTAACCATTCTGCTTATATCTGCTCTTTCAGGTCTAGAAGTATAACTCACTCAGAGCATGTCACCTGAACAATGTGAATGGTAAACATGGACAAGGCCACTCACAGAACTGAGGGAACATTAACTTGCAGATGACTCCAGGAAGCTCTGGATGTATCACTGCACTACTGTACTCTTCTTCCTCAGAAGAGATCTGCCCCAGGGGAGGAAGCAAATACAGTAAGAAAGTGCAAAGGCTTATATGCAAGTTAGCTATTCGAATGCTGCAATTAACTCATAGCTGTATTCGTGCTATTGATGTTCCTAAGCAAGAATTCTGTGACAGTGGATCTGAGTGGTATTCAGTGATCTGGAAGAAACTAGTTTTTCATTTGTCTGTCTGTTTTTTTGCTGATCCTGAGGCTTGAACTCCGGGCCTGGGCACTGTCCCTAAGCTTTTGTGCTCAATGCTAGTGCTCTACTACTTGAGCCACATATATGTCGTACTTACAATTTTTATTGTCTGCGTCTTCTGCCCAGTTAACACTTTCCAGTAGCAACCTCTCATCTTCAGAAGAAATGATTTCTTCTACTACCAAGAGGCCTGGGGGCAAGCCATGAGGCCCCAACGCCTTCCACCGTGCTAGGGGAAACCAGAGCAAACAGTCACCTATAAACCCTAAAGTACCTTAGACAAGTAATTCTGCCCAGTATCCATTTATCAGCTTTAACCTCCCAATCCTCATTTTCAGAAACACAGAAAGTACAAAATCTGAATTGCATGCATTCTGCTCCCTTCACTTCCTCTAGCAACAACAGTCCATCAGTATTCCATCCAAGCACAAGTGAGTCACTTTTTTTTTTTCTTGCATGCAAGGCAAGCACTCTACCACTGAGCCACATTCCCAGCCCATGAGTCACTTTTAAACCTCAGGGATAGAAAAGGGGTTTCCTAATAGTCACAGCATGCACTTCTACTCACAAGGCAAGATTGTCTCTGGATATGGAATCCAAGAATGGAAATATCCAATTTTGCTCTTTTAATAGCATCATAAATAATAGACATACTGAGAAATATAATTTTTAATATTAAAAAAAAAGGCTAGGCACCAGTGGGTCATGCCTGTAATCCTAGCTATTCAGGAGACTGTGACCTAAGGATCACAGTTCAAAGCCAGCTGGGACAGAAAAGCCTGTGAGACTCCTTTTTTTGTTTTGTTTTGTTTGGGTCCTGTCGTGGGGCTTGAACTCTGGGCCTGGCCGCTGTCCCTCAGCATTTCAGCTCAAGGCTAGTGCTCCACCACTTGAGCAACAGCGCCACTTCCGGCTTTTTTCTTTTTGCTTATATGGTGCTGAGGAATCGAACCCAGGGCCTCATGCATGCAAGGCAAGCGCTCTACCACTGAGCCACCTTCCCAGCCCCCTGTGAGATTCTTATCACTTGAGCTACAAGTGTTAGAGCATTAACCTTGAGCACAAAAGCTCAGGGACAGCATCCAGACGCTGAGTTCAAGCCCCAGGACCAGAACATAATAGAGTATTTGACAAAGGAGAACTGCTTAATTGGAGTCCTTTCATTTAATAACACACACATACAAACACAAACTTTTGTTCATAGTAAGAAAATCCACACAAAACCAAGAACCATTTCATACAGATAACTATATAGTACCTTTTTCCACAAAATTCAAGTACAGAATGATCTTCTGTCCTAAATCAGCCACTATTTCTTTTCCATGGAGAACAGCATAAGCTTTCCTGGCTTCTTCGGTTGTCGCATATGTTACGAAGGAGTAGGGTTTATTGGGTGGCATTAAGAGAGAGTCCACACTTCCACACCCCTGGAGAACTGGGAGCAGCTGCTTCCTACTCACACCATTACCCAGACCACCATTGGCAATGACCAGACTCTTAACAGCAAAAAGAACAGGCAATTGAAAGCAATCTCAATCTCCCTCTCTTAAAATAAGGTTATTTTTAAATACTATTTCTACATATAAAATTGAAAAGAAAAATATAATGCTTATTTGGTTTGTTACTTTCAAAGAATAAAAACCAATTAACTAATTTTTTTGGGGGGAAGAGAATTATTTTTGCTGTAAACATTTATTTTTTAAATAAATGTAAGATAAAATAGTCATTTGTAATAACCATAAATGCAAATGCATAACTCAAGACACCTCACAGGCCTTCTTGCATATTACCTCATTTAACTTCTGCCATCAGACTTTGTAAATAAAGTCTAATATATGAAAATACTTTACAGCTTATAGTCAAAATATTTTATATCACAGGTTGGGAACAGAAGAAACTTATTAGAGTACAGAAGATCCAACTTTAAGTTTCTAGTCAACTACTAATAAATTTATATTCATACTTATTCTCAAATCTTTAGTTTTCCCACCAACCTCATCAACATTTTTAGATAAGTACAACAACAAATATAAGTATGCTTTATTAAGATGTAGTCAACTAATACAACCAATAGAAATGTAAAGGCTAGACTATGTTCCAAAACAGAATTCTCAAATCTTTAGTTTTCCCACCAACCTCATCAACATTTTTAGATAAGTACAACAACAAATATAAGTATGCTTTATGAACATGTAGTCAACTAATACAACCAATAGAAATTTAAAGGCTAGACTATGTTCCAGAACAGAAAATTACCAGGTACTATCACACGTACATTTAATATGGGTTTAATATATAAACGAACAATTGCAGCTGTGAACAATTATTAACAAATATCGATATACTAGAGTAGCATACTGAGTCTTCTGCAAGCAAGTGGTAATTGTAGTTTTAGGTTACCTGCGTGGCATGGGCCACTGGCTCAATGCCTTCGTGTCTCAACAGGGTATTCCTGGCTTTATTCTGTTTCCGTAAGTACTTCTTTTCAGTTTTGCTGAGTTTCAAGTTACTTTGATGACGGATGTCCACAGCGATACTATATAAAGGAAAACAGAAACAAATAAGGGCGACGACCTTAGTGCAATTCATATGCTATAATTGATCAAAAGCTTCTATGTGACGACGTGGCCGGCTCCCCAGGCTGACGTTGGCAGCCTTGTGGAATACACAGCGCGTGTACCCCCGTGGCTGGCCGGCCCCCACAGATGGTTCACCTGTTCACCTCTTCAGGGTGCTGGTTCTCCAACACTGTCATCTGGTGGAGGACACGGCTAGCAATAAAGGTCCACCAGAGCCATGAAAACACCCCCCAGGACACCCCGGGATGGTCCCAACACGAGCACAACAAGACTCCACGGCGTGGGCAACCCGGCCCCCCAGCAATGGCCCACCCCGCCAGGAAAGACCCGGATGAGCGAGCCCCCACGTTGTAACTGCGGATCCCCAACACCCGCTGAAGCCGGGAGCCGGCGGCAAGCCAGCCTGAGGCTCCATCTCCTCTCCAGAGGCCGGACGGGGAGCCGTGGCTCGCGTGGAAGAGCGCCCGCCTTGAGTGAGGACGCGCAAGGGCTGGGCCCTGGCCCCGATCCGGGTCGACGCAAACCTCCCACCGCACCGCACCACGAACCCGCGGCCCCGCGGCCTGCTCAGCCCTCCGGGCGGTTCTGAGCCCCGCCCTGCCACGAGGAGGATGGGCAGCGACCACAGCTTCTGCCTCTGCTCACCGCCCCACAACACTCTCCTCCGCCGGCCTCCTCGCCCCTCGGGCCCCCAAAAGCAGAGGTGAGCTCTCTCACGTCGCCTTACCTGGGGGCCGCCATGTTGGAGACGATGGAACTACATTTCCCATGAGCCCGCGCGGCATCGAAGGGCGCTCCCACAATCCCATTTGCTTCCTCCAGTGTTAACCCTTTTTCTGCCAAGTGTCATGATAACAATGAAATTGCGTTGTCTTTTAGTTATGGTTGTAAATGCAGTTTTGGTGTTTGTTTGTTTGTTTTTAATTAGCCGTTTTTCAAATCCAGAAGGGCAAGCTTTTGTCCTTCGTGACCATCAGTAACAGAGTCCTTCTTGGTGTATCTTGAGCTCTTGGTGCCTCTTCCTGAATCTTGTTAGGTATTTAGGAGAGGGTGCTAGGTCTGCAAGGTGACATGAGGGTGAAGATGGGGGCTATGCATGCATTTGTCAGGGGATCCGTGAGTTGCACAGTGTAAGATGTGTGGAGAAGGCAAGACAGGAAAAGTAAGGTGCCACCAAATTAGAAGACCTAATGCCATTGTATTGAATAGGCCTCATCTTATGTAACCAGCATTTTCTGTGGAAGGTGGGAAGAAACGTTAGAAATGAGACTTGAAATGATAACATGAAAAAAATGAGGAAATGTGAACTGGAAAGAGCAATGAGTAGGGTAAATGAAAAGGCAGTAATGAATGAGACACCGAAGATGCAAGAGAAGGTAATGATTCCCAGTTGTTCCTACTCTGGTGTAATTTGTGATATAAATGTGTGGCTCAGGGGCTGGGAAGGTGGCTCAGTGGTAGAGCGCTTGCCTTGCATGCATGAGGCCCTGGGTTCGCTTCCCCAGCACCACATAAGCAAAAAGAAAAAAGCTGGAAGTGGCACTGTGGCTCAAGTGGTAGAGTGCTAGCCTTGAGCTGAAGAGCTGAGGGACAGCGCCCAGACCCAGAGTTCAGGCCCCACGACCGGACACCCCCCCCCAAAAAAAATGTGTGGCTCAGTGGTAGAATGCTTGCCTAGCATGCATGAAGTTCTGGGCTCAATGACTCAGTACCACATAAACAGAAAAAGCCAGAAGTGATGCTGTGACTAAAGTGGTAGAGTGTTATAGCCTTGAGCAGAAGAAGCTCAGGGACAATGCCCAGGCACCGAGGTCAGGAATGGCAAGGAAAAAAAAGTATTGCAGTCACTTCCCTTAAACTGGATGATGAGCTGTGTGAATTCAGAGAAGGAAACTTGGAGTGGGGGCAGAGGAATTTACTTTCTATAGTGTTAGTACATCAGCACCACACTACAACAGACTATCAGAGTAAATTAAGATTGACCAGAAGAAGTAGCTGAGAAGATTTATATTGACAAAAGCAGGAAGAAGGAAAGAACAGAAGTTTGAAGGCAGTTAGGCAGCCATTGCAATAGTCCAGGAAAGAAAGAGAAATGAGACTAAAACCAAGAGGCAAGTACAAACCAGAGAGGTGATATCAACCAGACATTGCAAACTATATGAATGGGGTGGGGGTGGCGACATGTTGACAATCCCTCTCCCCCATCCTATTGCAATCTTGCTTCTGCACTACCAAGAGCTTTCAAAAGCACATCCCACTTAACATTTCTGCAACAACTATCTACATTTTATAACTTGAACTCTCCAACATGGTAGAACCTAAAAGCACATGGCTTCCAACATTTCAAATGTGACTGGTACAACTAAGGAACTGATTTTTTTACAGAAGAAATAACATAGTTTTTTAACTTATGAATTTATTTTTTTGTAAATTTTTATTTAATTTTCATCCATTTAAATTTAAACAGCCACATGTGATACATAACTATCAAATTAGACAGTAGAAAATGTCTCCTTATTTTGGCCCAATTCGATTACCTCATCTCAATATGTGCCCTCCTTGAAATACTAATGCTTTTAAAAGTTTTAAATTGCTAAGGCTCCATGAAAATTCTCTTTTAGGCTTTTTAAAAATACATTCTGACCATTTACTTTCAGAGTTTTCCACTTCCTTTCCTGCCTCTGACCATAATTAAACATAGACAATCCCTCAAGCTTTGTTTTTGACCTTTTTCTTTTATTCTGTACTTTCTCCCTGTCTGCCCTCTCCAGAATTTTAAAGAGATATATGAATCATTCCCTATTCTTTCTCTTCAGCCCCAACTTCTCTTTAAGAAGCAATTTGGCTTTATGAAAACAACATTGAGTTGGTATATGACTTGCAGTAGAAACTGCAAAACAGCATTTTATCTTTTGGGATTGATGCCATAATTAAATAAAATATTATGTGTATGGTAGCCTACTGAATGTTTGTTCATTTCTTTTCTCCTCTTCTGCTCCCTCAGTCACAAACCCAGATTTCCAACCACCTACAGACTATCCCTGCCTTGAAAAACCTAGACACATATAAAATAATCAAGGCTGAGGATATGACCCAATGACAGAACAATTGTCTATCATACAAAAGACCCAAGGGTCTCCAGCACTCCACCACTCCAAGAAAATAATTACATGTAATCCTTTGTGTACAGTCCCTTATCTTCTCTGGGAGTATGGCAAAATCAGTTTCTTCTGGTCCCAATAACTCTCTGAACAGTTTTCAGTACACTGAGGCCCTGTTTTACTCATTATCTAGCCCCAGTATCTTTATAGGATTTTAATAAACTGAGCAAAAATGAAAAAGAATTGATTTAAAGATAGGATTTATCTTCACCTATACCAAAAAGTTTACATGGCAATCAAAGGTATTGAATGCTGAGCTAATGACCCTTTCATTAGTAAAAATACTGATCTCAACTTCATAAGCTGACTCCTCTGTGTCACTGATGGTGTGAGAGTTGGAAAAATTTTTGTGGACAGAGTAAGATAATTTCAAACTTATAACTGAATATTCTTTTTTCTTTACATACCCTTTAAACGGGGTCTGACAGTGCTGTTCAGCAGTAGCATATTAGAACAAAGCCCAGGGTTTAATCCCCAGCACCACAAAATAAATAGATAAAAATAAATAAACTGGGTGCCAGTAGCTCAGGCCCAGAATCCTAGCTACTCAGGAGGCTCGGATCTAAGGATCCTAGTTCAAAGCCAGCCCAGGCAGGAAAGCCAGTGGGACTCTTCTCTCCAATAGCCTACCAAAAAGCCAGAAATGAAGCTGTAGTTCAAGAGGTAAAGTGCTGGTCTTGAGCACAAAAGCTCAGGGATGGCACCAAGACTTGAGTTCGAGCTCCAGGATGGACACAACATATATACATATATACATACATACACACATACACACATACATACATATATACATAAACATCTTCCAAAGATGCAAAAACTTCTTTGCTCCTCTACTTACGTTAGCAGGATTTGACCAATGGACTCTAAGTTCCCAACTGCTGGACCTTCTTTCTGAATTCTATAATTGAAAGCATGGTCTCAATGTAAAGCTATAGTTGACTCCTCCACTGAGGATAGTTTATTATGCATTATAACATCCTAGTATAAATGAATTCACTCTAATTAGCTAGCAATATACTTTGAAACTTTGAAAAATATGAGTTCTGGAAATTAGAGTAAGAAACAACATATCACCTAGAATTGATTTTAGTAGCAAAAAAAAAATGGCTCATTAAATAACTATTTTTCCAAATGACGAGCAACTTATTATGGCATGGCTGACATTACTGGGGTCCTGATTTGTTAAGTTCTATTAGCATGAAAAAATGAAGCATCTAAATGTGCTGGGGATAGTTCAAGTGGAAAAGCTCCTACCAAGTAAGCAGAAAACCCTGAGCTCAAACCCAAGTACTATCACCACCAAAATAAATAAATAAATAAAAGGTCAAAGGGGTGGAGGAACATTTGTTAGGTAGGTAAGTATCAGTGAGCTCCATACGGGGGTTGAGCACTTATTTCTGGCCAGCACATATGGTCTGTATTAAAACCTAAGAGATTTCTTTTCTTTCTTTCTTTTTTTCTTCTGTCTGTCGTGAGGCTTGAACTCTGGGCCTGGGCGCTGTCCCTCAGCTCTTCAGCTCAAGGCTAGTGTTCTATCACTTGAGCCACAGCACCACTTCTGGTTTTCTGGTGGTTAATTGGAGATAAGAATCTCACAGACTTTCCTGCCCAGGCTGGCTTTGAACAGAGATCCTCAGATCTCAGCCTCCTGAGTAGCTAGGATTTCAGGTGTGAGCCACCAGCACCCAGCTTGTCTTTGGAACAGTAAGGGAAAGCATGGAAATGGTGGGGAAAAGGGTGAACAAATGCAGCAGTGCTACTCACTAGACATTATGTTGAAAATGAACTACATACAACCTGTGGGTGGGGGTGGGAGGGAACAACAGGAAAGGGGTGACACTGTCCAAAAAGAAATGTACTCATCTGCCAGGTGCTGGTGGCTCACTCCTGTAATCCTAGCTACTCAGGAGGCTGAGATCTGAAGATAGTGGTTCAAAGCCAACCTAGGCAGGAAAGTCTGTGAGACTCTCATCTCCAATAAACCAACAGAAAACTGGAAGAGGCACTGTGGCTCAAAGTGGTAGAGTGCTAGCCTTGAGCAAAAGGGCTCAGGGACAGCACCCAGGCCCTGAGTTCAAGCCCCACAACACAAAAAGAAAGAAATGTACTCATTATCTGACTTATGTAATTGTAACCCCTCTATGCAACAATTTTTAAAAATCAATAAAAACAACAACAACAACATCTAACATTGGGACTGGGAGCGGGGGCTTAGTGGCAGCGTGCTTGCCTAGCATGCATGAAGCCCTGGGTTCAATTCCTCAATACCACATAAACAGAAACGCAGGAAGTAGTGCTGTGGTTCAAGTGGTAGAGTGCTAGTCTTGAGCAAAAGAAGCTCAGGGACAGTGCCCAGTGCCCTGAGTTCAAACCCCAGGATTATTTTTTTAATCTAACATAAAAGGTTATTAGAAGACCGAGTGCTGGCATCAGCTCACATAGCATCCACAGTTCCAACTCTAACAGGTCATTCTACTTTTACACGTCAATCTGGAATGACTCCTCTAGTCCTTCAAAATTAGTTCCAGTGATACTGTTGGACTGTTGAATTCATGACTTGTATTTTTTTCAAAGTTACTG